CACTTTGTTCCAGTCAAGGAGTCCAGAGTGTCATCGATCCTGGGAAGAGGATAGCTGTCCTTTTTCGTCACATCGTTTAGTTTCCGGTAGTCTACGCAGAACCGCATTTGACCATCCTTCTTCTTCACAAGTACTACCGGCGAACTCCATGGACTCGCTGATGGTTCAATCACACCACTCTCGCTCATTTCTTTTATTATTTGGCTAACAGTTTCACGTTTGGCAAGTGGAACACTCCGAGGAGCTTGACGGATTGGCCTTGCATCGCCAGTATCAATGCGATGTTTCACAACGTTAGTCCTGCCTGGTTTGTCGCCATCCTTGTCGAATATGTTGCAGTATCTTCGGAGAAGTTCCTTAGCCTTGTGCTGGTATTTTTCTTCCAACCCTTCCGTCCATGCATTAATGTCTTCCGCAATGTCATTCTCGCCAATGGAATCGCTTTCAGGTAATTTTTCGCAGTTGAAGATTGCCTCTACCTCTCTACATTGCCCCAGTACAGTTCCTCTTCGGAGTTTGACTGGTGACTTGAACTCATTGAGCACTCGAACTGGGATGCGTCCATCCTTTTGCGTCTTAGCCAAGGTTTTACCAATAAGTACGTCCGGTGTAGAATTTTGTGTTGCTTCAACAACCCACAATTTGTTTGTCCCACAATCTCCATCAATCTTTGCCCACACAACTGCTTCTGACTTCGGTGGAATCTGCTCGCTTTCCTCTAGGATCACTCGCTTGCTGCTGTATGGACCATCATACCCAAACCGAAGGGGCACTTCCATGTTGTTATACGTCATAATCCTGTTCTTCATGTTGATCTTCATACCTTGATCAAGCATGAAGTCTAATCCAATGATGACTTCATCCATAATTGCCGCGACTATGAACTTGTGTAACACCGTCACATTCCCTATTGCGACTTTGCATGTTACCTCCCCTACAACTTGGGTGTCCTCACCAGTTGCTGTCCTCAACCTTGCTCCAGGTAATGGCCTTACCTCTTTAGTGACCAAATCAGATCGAATGATGGAATGTGATGCGCCCGTATCCACAGTTAGTACTCGCTCATGTCCGTCCACATATCCACCAACAGTAACGTTGCTCGCTTTTCTGCCAATTCGCGAGACGGAGATTATGGGGCATTCAATTGCGGGAGCCAGCGTGCGCCCCTTGCTGCTGGCTCGTTTTAGTTTAACGACTGGTCGGAGTTGGGCTCGTCATCCTCAGTCCTGCGTTTACGTACTGCTGAACTGTTGGAACCCGTCTTACATTCGCGTGCGAAGTGGCCTGGTTTTCCGCAACTAAAACATTTTCTAGCACCATCCTTCCTCTCGGTTGCACCAGGAGTATTCTTCCCTGCCATCGACTTGAGTGTTTTCAGGATCTCGTTCATCACGTCAGGTGTTTCCACTTCTACTCGATGGGCTTTGTAGGCTGGTCTACTTAGGAGCGCTGCCGTTTCACGTGTCTGAGCATACGAGACCGTTTCAGCAAATGTTGCCTTTGGATTTGCATACGTCTCGCGCTTGGTATACACGTCCCGCATTCCGTTGATGAACCTCTGGATTTTTACTCTTTCGAGGTGCTCACCAGATGCATCTCCAATTGCCAAATTAGCCAACCTTTCAACCTCGGAGGCGAATTCCTGTAGAGTCTCGTTGGATTTCTGGCAGCGATTTTCCAGCTCCATCTGGTAAATCTGTCTCCTGTGCTCGCTACCATAACGTCTTTCCACTGCACCCATTAACGCATCGTAACTGTTCCTTTCACCATCAGGAATAGTCTGCAAGATTTCCGCTGCAGGTCCTTTTAATGCAACGAACAGTGCAGCGGATTTATCCTCCATGCTCCAGTGATTTGCTGTAGCTGTCTTCTCAAACTGGAGCTTAAAGACTTGGAAAGGAATCGTGCCGTCAAAGGATGGAGTCTTTACCTTGGGCGCGCTGGTCGAAGAAGGTGGGCGATTCAACTGCATATCTCGGAGGCGACCTTCCAACTCTTCTACCTTGGCCTCGACTTTATCCTGTCTATCCTTGATTTGTTCGTTATCTCTAGCCAAATTCTCCTGCAGTTGTGTAATCTTTGCATCTTGGACTTCCAACAACTGTGATACGTGTGTCTTCTGTGCCTGTAGCTGCGACGAAATATCTGACAACTGTGTTTGCATCTGAGATGACATCTGTGACATGGCAGCCAATAACGTGTTCATGTCCATAGCTGTTGATGAACTTGGAGACTTTTGCTGTTCTTCAAGCTTCCCGGATGTCTGCTGCACATCCTTCGACGAACAGGCAGCCTCATCCTTGTGTTCGTCCTTTGCGGATGCACCGTCGGATTTACCCTGGAAGTCGTATTTGTCCACGTCGATGCCTTCAGCTTCCATAGCCTCCCGCAAACGGGATAATAATTCCACTTTTCTTCCGGAGGTGGCCAAATTACGCTTTTCCAACTCCTGTTTCAGTTCCTCAATCTTTAAGTCCTGAATTTTCGCCATTTTCAGTAGTTTATCCTTCGGGATTTATTTAACAATCCCACTTCTGACACCAATTGTTACGATTATCCTCGAAACCTTGAGGGATTACCCAAATATACTCCGGCTCGTATCGCTGGATTGTTAAATAAATGCTAACGATGACCGAATTGTAGTACAATTAACTTTATTGTACAACAAACAATTTACAATACTTGCTAATACAGTAAAAACACTTTACAATACTTGTTAAAGCAATAACAACGCTTTACTACTTGTTAACACAATTAAACTTATAGCTTGCTGACTTGTAACTGTCCCCACTCCGCTGTGTCGTGGCTCTTATATACCTGCGCTCACACTTATGGCAACTCTAGAACGTTCTGAAGTTTATCGCTCGTTCTCTTTCTCTCGCTGTTCGCAGTGTTCATCCAACTTGACGTTTCTCTTTGTGGAACATTCTACGTCATTCCTCGAACATTCTGCCTATTTCTCGTTGTTCGCTTTGTGTTGCCGCAGTATTCGCCACAATATGGATGCCTAACGAAAGGGGCCTCAGAAGGTAGCCGTTTGAAAATATTTTGAATAGGGTTGCCACCTATTTGCAATGTCGAATTTAATTAACTTATCCAAAAGTTATATGAAATGTCAAAATAATGATGTCAAACCTAAGAATATTAAGAAGACTTTGGTTTTAACACACAAAATATTTTTGAGGTGTTGGAAGAGGGTTGCCACCTGTTTAAAAATTAAATTCAAATTATTAAATAAGATAAATAAATTAATAAAATATGAGTATCAATCGAATGGGGGTTGAAAAATCTTTCTTTGTGAACTATATTTAGCGGAGTTTCCACATGTTTAATTTATATAATTCAACTTAATTCATCAGTTAATTAAAATATGTATCGCAATATATATATATATATATAATACACGAAAGGACTTTTCGTCCAGGTCATCAGGTCTGAACCATTCGTTTGATTTTCAAAAATGAGGTATCAAATTAAAGGGCTTGATTTGTAGATGTGCAGTAGGTTTTTACTTTTCCGAAAAGAATGTCCACTTTTTAAAAAATTAAGTGGAGATTATTTATAAATCAATACCATCATATCCCCACCCTTCGTTCGATTTTAAAAAATGCGCAAATTAAAAGACTTGGTTGCAGATGTGCAATGAGGTTTTACTTTTTGAAAAGAGTTGCTACCTTTAAAAAATTTTATTCAAATTATTACAAAAACTTAATCACTTATTAAAAATATATATCAGTCAAAATGGTTATTAAAAGATTTGCTTCTTAACTTAACTGTGGGAGTGTTGCCCCTGTTTAAAAATAAAATAAAATTTTAAACAGGGAAATTACATAGGTAATTTAAAAATGTTCCCCCACAGGGGTCCAGACTAAATGGTAGCAATTTCAAAGCGTTTTGGAAAGGGCTGCCACCTGCTTTAAAAGCCGAATTTAGTTAAAACCATGTTATATACAGTATTAAAATATGGGTGTTAAGAGTGCTAAGAAATATTCAGTATAAACATTAAAATTTTGTTTGATGGTTTGAAGAGAGTTGACAGCTGTTGAAAATTTTAAATTTAAATAAGTTATTAAGTTAAATAAATTACTAAAAGGGGTGATTTAATCGTTCATGGGTTTGAGAAGGATTTATATCTGAACTGTTTAGGAGGGTTGCCAGGTCATAAAAAGAAAATTATATTCAATTTAATTTAATTCTTCAGGTAATTGAATTATGTATCAAAGTATCAGGCGAAAGAGCTTTAAAAGATTTCAGTTTGAAAATGCTTCGCAGAAGCTTGCCACCTGTTTGAAAAGCCTAATTTATCTGGCTTTTACAAAATTTTAATGAAATATTAAAATATGAGTGGCAAAAGAAAGAGTTTTAATAAAACTTTAGTTTGAAACTATTTTTTGTTAGGGTAGCCATCTATTCGATTTTTATTTTGAGCGATAAAGTTCGGTAATTGTGTTATCTGCTGTCTCTGTGAAGACAATTGACCCCCTCGGAGCCGCGATTTCACGCCCTTAGACTTTTTTGTGCCATGCCGTAAAGGACCGATATACTGCGAACAATCTATTAACGATTCAGGCCCTTAAGGCGTATGTCGGGCATTTCTTGCGATAGAGCCAGAAACCCACAGTATACAGTAGAAAAGGTTTTTGTTGTTGCGGCTGTTAATTTGGTCCCCATAAAGGACTTGAGGGTTGCGATCAACTGTTTTGCCACCTTCAGGGTGGTGTGCAGCAAATTAATGTGGTGAAAAACTTTATGCATCGGATAAATGGCAACAGAAATATTGTTATGCGCTTTATAAATAAACATGAACGTAATAAAATATTTTGTACTTGAATACAACTAATTAGCGCTATATTTGAAATTCGAAGTGATCTTAAAAATATTTGTAGTGAAATATGTACTTTATGAGTTTAATAGAAACTATGTTATATGTAAAAATATATTCCGATTAACTTCAAATAAATGGTGTTAAGTGTTTTATATATGGCTCTAATTGTAATAATAATATTTATTACTTTCATCTACATTGCTTTTAATGTATGATTTCACGAGTAGTTGCAGTTTTCTTCAATTGTCTCTGGCAGACTATACACGTTAAAACTAAATAATTTCACAATTTCTACCCTATTATAGGTTTATATTTTAATGAAATGTGATCAGTTACTGAAAAATATATAAACTCCGATCAAGCTATAGTACTGAACGCTTGATAAACAATTACTTATATGAAATGATCAAAAGTATAAGGCGCTCAGAGCCAATTTTGGAACACCTCATAAAATATTTTCAGAAGAAGTGAATGCAACTCTGGGAGGTAGCTGAAAATCAAATCAATTGTAGAATTTGTGCTCGCAAGAAGTTTTTCAGGAAAGTTTTCGCAAATATAGTGTTTTTAATCAACGTTTATAAGTTTTGAGTTCGCAAAATATTGAGTATTTTTTAAATAAGTGTTACAAACTTTTCCTTCGCAATACACGCGAATTGTGCGCAGTAGAACCAATTTGGAAATATCGTGCAGATCTGGAAGTTTCTGGCCAACCAGCACCTACCGAAATCTACATATAAGCACAAAGTAAGTACAATGATTACATTTATTAATGTGTTTACTTTTTTAATTATTGTGCTTTTACCTTTGCACATAGTATTTTTAGTAAAGATGCCGAAAAGATGTGTGTGCAAATGAGCAGAAGGAGGTTCTCTCTACAAGTTTCCTTCGGCTTCGGATGGAGAAATGTCAAGGTATTATCCTTATTTTATTTCATGTATTTTATTCAAATTATAAAATTAGTTAAACTGAATGCTGGATAAGCGACAGCGATCGTCTGAATTCAATTTTTGTGCTTTAAAGGGGTAAAAAGAAGCCTCGTATTAACTTGTGAATTCGCTATGTAAAAATCCAACCCGAAGAAGTACTCTTGGAGTTTTATCGCTTATCCAGTTAATAAAGTTTCACCATATTATCATTGTGTATATGGAAAATCTACATTAATGTAGCACACATTGCATTTCAATGTATTTATATTGTGAAAATTTTAATCATCGACAGGCTTATCGATACGTGAAGTAAACGACCACAGATTTTCGCATCAAACCGGTTTCGTGGACTTATATTAAATTCATATTTTTTAACATCGCACCTTTTTTTGTTAAATTTATTATTTTATTGTATCTTTAAGTACAATGACTTTAACCTTTTAGAAAGTTAGGTAAGATGATACGTGCTGTTAATTCGTCTTTATATCTAATTATTTTTAAATAGCATCTATTCGCGCAGTTAAATTTATATTTGTACTTCGGGTTTCAGCTGCTTTCTAGTAAAAAGTATAAGACTTACGTTTTTTTTAAGTTAAAGTATTTTAATTATGAAATCTATATTTTCATATACATATGTATGTACTGCGGTTTTCAGCTGCCTTTTAGTAATAAGTCTTAGACTTAATTTTTTTTAAGTTAAAAAGTGTTTTAATTATAAAATTACATAATGAAATACAATTAGTAGGTAAAAGAATTAATAATTTTAATAATAACTTAAAAATAATTATCTATTAACTTTTTAATAGTTAACTAAAATAATGGCACTAAGGTTAAAAATTTATTAAATAAAGTGTTAAAAAAATTAAATAACTTTAATGAGTTTCAGAACGTTGGCTGCAGCGATTTACGAAAGAAAAGGTTGGTAAAGAATTTTTTTACTTTTCATCAAATGGTATCGGTATTTTGTTTCATTCATCATATTTTTATTTCAATCAAATTTTTTTTTTATTTTTCATATCTTTTTAACCAGAGCTATCATGGATTCATCGTAGTCCGATTTTTCGTTAAATATACGAAAACGCTATCACTGAATCCGGATAGCTACGAACGTAGCATATACATACTATGATCAGTGATCGCATTTTCATAGATTTCACGAAAAATCGGACTACGATGGATTCATGATAGCCCAGAATAGTTTTGCTTTGCTTTGGGGTTTGGCTTTTTGCATATGTACATACTTATATTTTTCTTTCATTTCATATTATTTATTAGCATTTTTATCACTTTTTAATTTAACCAATTTTTCTATATACGATAAAAATCAACAGATTAACTCCTTTTAATTATTTAATAGGCGCTTGAAGTGGATGAGGCTCCTGGGAGTGGACGTTAACTCGAAGGCCAAGGAGTTGTATGCGTGCCAGAGGCATTTTTCCCCGAAATATCGAAATCTTAGGAAGCTATCAAAAGGGGCTATCCCCGATATGAATTTTTGCCCACTTTTTGTGAACATCCAACTTGTTCTTCTTTAGGAAATTCAACTTATGGGGTACGTAGCCAAGAGACGCAGACAGAGGCACATCTTAGCGAAGAGTCTCCTAGAAAGCGTAAATATCAGGAAGAGATAGAAGTATTAAAAAAAAGGCTAGTAGAAAAGGAGGTAGAAATTTCACAATTGATGACCCCAGGTTTGTCTGTTCAGCGGCAGAATAACAGGCAAATTGAAGCTATATGCAGCAAAATTCCTCCACATCTCGCGGTATGTGTGAGAAACTGCATGAGGAATGATGGCCGACAACCTTCTGGTCGGCGCTTCGATAGAAGCTTAAAAACTATTGTCTTAGGAGTTAGGTGCACTCCCCTTTAGCGTATAGGTATTTGAGACCCCTTTTTCACTGGCCTTCCCCAACAACACTTTCCACGTTTATTAAAGGTTGGCCTAGGCTCCCTGGCTGTTCCTCTAGCAGCATTAGATCCCTGGAGTTGCGAAGCCGAGGTTTCACTCGTGAACAAAAGTACATTTCGTTATGCTGTGACGAAATGTCTTTGAAGACCCACTTGAAATATGACAAGAGTAGAGATTTTATCATAGGATTAGAAGACTATGGCGATGAAAATCGCACGTCGAGAATAGCGAATAGTGTTTTATGCATTATGGCCCAAGGCGTTGGGGGAGCCCCTTGGTCACAGCCCGTTGCCTATTTTTTCGTGCACAGCTCGTGCAAGGGTGATGTGTTAAGGAAATATGTATTTGAGGTTATAGTTCAACTCCAGGGAATTGGTCTTCATACCTGCCAATTCGTCTGTGATCAAGGATCAAATTTTGTTAACTTCGCTCGTCTTGTAGGGGTTGCAGAAGATAGGCCATACTTCGAAGTTAACGGTGAGAAGATCGTATTTTTCTTTGATTCCCCCCATCTGCTAAAGAGTTCACGGAACTGCATCGAAAATAACAAAAACAATGTTAATTTTCGCGGAAATCCTGTTCAATGGGCAGATATTGTCCATTTTCATCAACAGGATACCCATCGTGGTATACGATGTGCGCCTAAGTTAACTACGGCTCATATTAAGCCCACATCTTTTGAAAAAATGAGTGTTCGTTTAGCTGCTCAAGTACTGAGCAATACGGTCGCTAGTGCAATGCTATCTCTTTATAGTACCGGGAATCTTAACACGTCTCAATCTCCAAGCTTCTTAAATACTGCCGAATTCGTTCTATTCTTCGACCAACTCTTTAATATTTTCAACAGTAACGGGATTGGAGCCCTCTGTAAATTTGGTCAACCCTTTTCAGGTAGCACGGAACAATTAGATTTTTTGAAAGAAGCCGAACGAACCCTTCGTTCAATAACTGTTCATGATATACTATTTGGTCGAGATATCACGAACAATTTTTCCTTTATTAAAGGCTGGCTTCTCAACATCCAAAGTTTGCGACGCTTGTGGCTTATATTGTTACACCATGAATTCGAGTATATAAGAACCAGAAGACTCTGCCAGGACGAAATAGAACATTATTTTGGTCAGATTAGAAGGGGCGGTGGATTAAATCCAAGAACAACTCCGTGCATGTTTTCAGATCTTTTCAGGCAATCCTGGGGCCTAAGACATGTAAATTTTGTTACAAGCGGTAATTGCGAACCTTTGCATAGCACCGAGTGGGAATTTTTTTCGTTTCGCACCCTTGAAAGGGTGATTCAAGACACTTCCTGGCAAACCTTTCAAAGTTTGCCCAGACCTAACATACATGACGGTATAAGAAACGGTATAGATGTCGATGTCGTTGAAAGCGACTTCCTGCAAAGGAACTCTTTTGCGTATTTCTGCGGATATATGTTTTTTTTTAAATATAATAAATTACATACTTGCTTGGAGCCATTACCCCGATTTGATGAAGGTGAAATTCCGGAAGAAGCATTTACTTTCACTAAAGAAAAGCAGTATGACAATTTAAATCGCGTGAAAGCTCCTTCTGGATTCATCGAGTTTCTTACAAAACTCGATGAAGTGTTAAACGAAAACTTCGATTCTTGTTGCCATTTAATTGGATTTTCAAAAGCATTATTTGAAAAAATGAGTGGCATAGAACCATATTATTGCTGCAGTAATTCAAATCCCGATATTTTAAAACACCTTTTTATTAGAATCAGGACATATTTTTCTTTAAAAATTTTTAATAAATAGGCATGTACACCTGAATTTAAACATACAAAATTTTTGTGTATTTCTCACAGGTAGTTTATATTTTTTTTAGTAGAATACGCACTCATTTTTTTAAGAAGGATGGTTATCAATTTATAATTTTTTTGGTTTTTTTGTTTTATTTCGTTTTTTTTT